GTTGGCGTTTCTGAATTCTCATATTCTAATGTTGGCATGCGATTTCTGCCAACTGTTTTCTTGGATTTCTTCTAGTAGGTTATAAATCAGGTTTATGAAAAGGAAACTCTGTGCATTTTTTAATGGATTTATGATAAAGCCATCAAAGTGGAGGGTCCATATGTAGGAATGCGGTAAAGGTAACAGGACAGTGTCATGTAAACATTAAATGCAGTGCCTTCTGCCTTCATAAATCTTCAATGCGCATGATTAAGTGCTGCCAGTTATAAATTATGCAACCAAACTCTAGAAATGACTACAACTTAAATTAAGACCCCAGAGGAAACCATAAGTTGTATATAGGTTTTCTTTCCAAAAATCCATTGTATATTTATTAGGAGACGATATTCAAGGCCCTATTTTCCTCAATAATTACTTTCTCACATTATTTAACTTCCTACAGTAAGTCCTAGTCCTGATTTAAAAGTAATAATGCAAACCTTTAATCCTAGACAATAATTTGTCATTTATATGTGGTGAAGTACCTTTTTGATTTGCAGACTCATTTTAAAACTTTCATATATATATATATATATATATATGGCTTGTATATATATGTATACACACACAGACATATATGTAGCTTGAGGTCTCTATGATTTTGTTCTTTTTAGAGTCATATATCAGAAGTTTCTGCAAAAGCCTAATTTCACACTGTTATTTACAATCAAATTATTTTATTACATGTGGGAACAATTAAACATTTTGCCTTCAGCTGTAAACAATTACTATATACAATGACATTCATGGATTTTTCTTAAATGGTCATGTATTTCTAATGCCCTGTTAAAGAGGTAAGATCCATGTACATGCATTCTGTGTTTCCATAAGCAAATATATTCCCAAAGAAAATATCAAAAGAGATATTTCACTTAGAGAATGCACTGACCTCGTCTGGTACCATGTAACCACCTGCAGTGAGGATACCTTGAACATGTTTCATTTCTGTTCCTCTCTCAATTTACTACTGTTCCAGTTTGAACCTGAAGAACTGTTGGTGTTCATTAGCAAGAAGTGATTAAGATTTTGGATAATTTGTTTTTTAGAGTTTTGAGGTGTCTAATTCGAATATATTGGCATCAATGTTGCCAGTAGTGGAGGTAAAAGAAATAATGTAACCAAATAGATTTGGTCTTGACCTGACTCTGCCAATTTCCAGTTGAATGACCTTGGGTAATTTCCTTTTTTCAGTTTACTTTGAAAAAAATGTGGATAGTTATATCTAAATTATAGGACCATTATGTGTTAAATGATCTACATATTGAAGAAATAGGTACATGCCATGCAGTACATACTTATTTCTATATTGTTTCCTGAACTTCTTTCCCGCAAAGACTCATAAGCACTGTGGCTTTCCATTTTGAGAATAGCCATTCTTGGATCTCTCAAGTGTAGGGATACATTTTCTTTTTATTAACTCCCGTTTTCTACAAGTGACAACCATGAGAGAAGCCCACAGTCCACTCACATCCAGAAATAAGTCTACCAGTCCCAGTTGCAAGGGTACCTAACAGATGTATCCAGCCTTTCTAGGGGGCCAGAACTGGAGCTGAATAGTAATGTTTCAAGGGCAAAGCTCTAGATATAAATAATGATAAAACAAACTTAAATGAGCCTAAGCATATCTAGTGACAGATATACTACAGCTATTCTAAATTATTCAAGCTTTCTCAGACTTCCAGCAGAAGAACCATAATTCATCTCTGCTCCCTTTATTCTATTTTCATATAATGGCATAGAAGCAAACCCAAAACTAACCCCTTCCACTAAAAAAAAAAAAAAAAAAGTTATAATCACCCAAATTGAGAAGAGTTTCTTTAGCACATACAACATTTTTAGAACTATCCAATTTCTGGGAACCAGCTTTGGAGGTAGAAGTTAAAAATGATTTTGCAATGCTTATGGGTGATTTCCTTACTTCCCTTTTGTTAGTATTTTGCTGGCAAAAAGCCAATAAAACAGTTGTTTAATTACCCAGGACATCCCAAACATGTAACCTCTTAGATAATCTGTTACTGTATTTTAACAGCAATAATACGAGGGTCAAAAGTAACAAAAAAAATTAAGCTTCAAATAAGCAGACCTCAAAAGAACAGCTTTGTATATTGAGAATAATTAATAACTTGTTTAGGAAAATGTTACTGAAAAGTGGTTTTTGGACAAGGAACTGACACTCTTCAGAAACCGTAATATTTAACAGGCTACCATTTGGTGGGCTGGCTGGCTGGTTACCCTGTAGGCATGGCAAAAGTTTGCTCACATGTAATTATGCAACATTTAGACAATATCTTAATGATACCATGTAGTTCAGCTGAATCAGTCCAGCTGGAAATTGTAGCAGTGTTCTGATTAGCCAGCCACATGTGAAATTAAGGCTTTTTCAAACTCTACTTTTCACTTGCTATGTCTTGATACAGATGTTCTTGGAAAGCCTAAATTATTTATGGTTTGACATTATTTAACAGAGTAAGCCCCACCCCCTTTCATTTTCAACCATTGATTATGATTGCATTACTATATAAGATATGATATTTTAACAAGGGTTACTGTTACACTTTATCATATGGAAGAGATACTATTGTATTTTGGACAGTTAGAATGGAAATTTTCCACACTAGTTTTTATGCGATAAAAATTATATACTCTTCTTTTTGCAGATAATTCTTACTGTAAAAATATAATTCAATTTATATCCCTGGCAATCATTTTATTAAATAAGCACACATGATTATTATTTTAGAAAATATTAATTTCAGTTGCATAAATAAACTAGTATAGATTGGTCCTTATGTCATAAAGACACTTAAAATATACCAATAGCAAAATCAAGTTAGTGTCTAAAAAAAAAAAACCAGAATTTTGCCCAAAGTTAATGCTTCGAAAATATATTTATCTCCATGAACTAAAAATACAAAGAAGAGTTTCAGTCAATGGGCATTTTTTTTAACTCCCAGCTCACTCTTCAGCAAGTGTTTAGCTTACTTCTTCCCCATAATTCTACCTGGATGACAGCACAACTATTTTGTTTTAGAAGTGAATAAAGGTATTAAATTTTAATCAGCAACTCTACCATCTAAACGCAGTATCTAATGAATTCAGGTAACAAATGACTTTCATACAAAAAAATCATAAATGACATTATTTCAGCCGCTTTCTATGAATCAGAATGGAAAAAAAAAGGTAATGGACTATTTAACATCTCTATATTAAACTCTAGATGGAATACTTTAAAATACTTTCACAAGTATTTTTATTACTTATAAACATATCGCTAATTTTAGTAAATGGAAGCAGCAGCTGAAGAGGAACAGAAGTTAATGTTGAATATATGTGGATCCCCAAATAAGAAATCTGTCTTAATTCCTGTAAATCTTTATTTAAAAAGAAAATGCTAAATTCTGATTAACTGTCTTTCCCCTTAGTACCAGATAGTTTTCTGGGCCAACGTATCTTGGAATGTCTGACGCACATATTTAAGTTAGTTGGCAAGAAATTTCCAAACAACTGACACATAAAGGTCCCTTTAAAAGGTAACTTGGAAGGACCATTGAGATAATGCTAAATGGTCATTAAAGATGTTTAAACGTCATTGTCTACTGTCTTCAGTGTGCCATTACATAGCCTCGGGATCCTTTCAAATAGCAATCAATAGAGGGTGAATAAGTCTCACCACTTGAAAGTAACTAGGAAAGGAAGCCAACAGAGTAATCTGGCTTTGCTGGACTGATTCAAGAAGAGACACAATATCCACCCCTCCTCTTCTAGTTCTCCCTCCCCCTACCCAGCCCACACCCCTGCAAGAAAGAAAGAAGAGAAAGAGCTAAAGAAGGAAAGAGAGAGTGAAAGGAAAATGGATGGGGCAGAGGGCATAATTTATCCTGAGCAGAAAACCTCATCCAATGGGACAACTATAGCCATGGAAACAGACTTCATGACTTTTACTTTGAAAATAAAAGAATGACAATGAAATTTGTGTGAGGTCTGTGTGAATCCAGTCCCAGATGTTTACAGTGCTGTAGTAGTATGGCTCTGCAATATGAGAGGTTTCAGAAGAAACGAGTACAACAGGACACCACAAAGCAGCGCATATGCCATTGACAATGCAGACATGAGCATCATGTTACCAAGAGAGAAGGCAGGCAGAAGACAAATAGCAGCGGTGGTGCCTGAAAAGCTAACTTCATGGACTGCAATCACTCAAACCAACATGAGGGGCCAAAAAAAAAAAAAAAAAAAATCAAAACCAGAAAAATGTTTGCACTCCTGTCTAGATAGGTAATATGGTAAAGAGATGGGGGTGGGGAGCCAGCGGAATTGACTTTTCTTTCTTAAATAAAGCTCCCATAAATGAGGAAAAAAAAAAAAAAAAAAAATCAAAACCAGAAAAATGTTTGCACTCCTGTCTAGATAGGTAATATGGTAAAGAGATGGGGGTGGGGAGCCAGCGGAATTGACTTTTCTTTCTTAAATAAAGCTCCCATAAAGCCCCTATAATTGACAGCGGATAATTATTTTCAGCTTGAGAAAACTGTCCCAAAACTCTTAATAAGATTGCCAGCGAAAAGAAACCAAATGTGTTTACTCAAGCCAGTTCCAGAAGGGAGGGAAAGGGGACCTTGAGATGAGGTGCGGAAGGGCTATGGAGACAGAGGGGGGCATCTAGGCGCAGCAACAACTCTCCAGCGCCCTGCGTGGTCCCGGGAATGACAAGCCGGAGAAGGAGAGACGGGGCAGATGGGGTGGCAAGGAATGGGGGGTGTGGAGGGAGCTGCGTCAAGGGGAGGGGGGGCGGCAGCACAATGTATGGGGGGAGTGATTTAGTGTGAAAGTATTCCACTTAATCATTTTACAGGGGTTGGGGACGTAAATATTTAGCTGGCCACATCTGGAACAGATTTTCCCCCCCTTGTGGGGTGGGGGGTGGATAATTGGAAGGAGGGGAGCGCGCATTTGTTACTTACTGTACGGGCAGTTCTCCTTCTTGGTACCGCTGACCTTCCCGTTCTTCTCGATCTTGAGAAAGTACTTGGTAAAAGAGAACAGCTTTCTCCAGCGGACATCTCCTTGGAGGTGATTGTAGCTCCGCACGTGCCTACCCGCACTAGCAGGAGAGGAGAAGGAGGAAGAGGACGCGGAGGACCAGGACGAGGAGGAGGAGGAAGAGGAGTTGGTGGCCTCTGGTGACACCATGCCCTGACCGAGGGCTGGGCAGGTGACAGGGATGGAAGACACCAAGAACAGCAACAAGAAGCAGCAGCCGCTGCCAGGCAGGTGGGGAAAGGCTGAGGCACAATGTGTCAGTATCCATTTCCACATTGTACTGAAACTCTCGGCACTGGAGATTGTCTCATCAGAAGGACCATACTGGAAGGGTAAGACCTGGTGCGAGGCAAGGAGACAGCTGGAGGTGGCGGCCGCTGGTTAGCTCCCTCGGGGCGCAGATCTGGCCAGAAGTGAATGCACCAACATCCATAACTCCTTGGAAGGGCCGGCTGCCTCTCCTGGCTCCTTTCTCGGGCCCGCCGCCGAGCGCCTCTCGAGTCTCCCGGTGAATGGTGGACGTGGGTGGCCGCAATGGCAGGAGCTGGTGGTGGCGGTGGTGGTGGCGGCGGCGGCGGCGGTGGTGGTGGTGGTGACCAGCGGTCTTCACTCCTCTAGGAGTTACTTTGTTCTCTTCTTCACCCCTTTCTTCACCATGTTAGATGCAAAAAAAGGTCTGAAAAACAGATGACAGCACGGTGAACAAAACCCACAGAGGTGGGGGTGGGAGGCTGGGGGCGATGTCTGCGCCTCTCTGGGCTTGGCACCTTCTGGTCCCTCTCCGCAGAGCCCCAGCCCGCTAGCCAGTTCTAAAAGCGCGTCCCTTTGCAGTTGTCAGAACTGGAGGCAAGCTGCCGGTCGCCGATGTTTCCTTCCCCGTCTTGCTTTCTCTTTTTGGTGGTGCCTGTTGATTTGAAGCCTCCAGAAAGTCACTTCTTGTTTGGGGGAGATGGCGGTTGGTGTTTTGTTTGGTCCTCTTTCCCTCCCCCCCACCCCCTTCCTTTGGAAAGCCCGCTTGTAAACAGGTTGAAGCCTGGAGTCTAAATGTCAGTGATTCTAAGCCAGAGGTGGGCTCTGCCTCTGCTGGTCAGACCTCATTTGCAGGGGTGGAGAAGCGGGGGGAGGGGGTCAAACGGCGGTGGGACATCTGAAACCCTCGGCTGCTGGGAACGCCAGGGAGCGGGAGGGGGAGGGGGCCAAGAGGGGGGGTGGAGAGTAGGGGAGCAAGGAGGGGAGAGCGCGATGCCTCCGCGCGGAGCCGGGGGCTGCCGGGTCCCTTCCCTGTGGCCCCACGGCCGCAGGCAGCCTCCGCCCCGCGCCTCCAGCTCCGGCGAATTGCTGCAAAGTGGCGGTGCTGCGCTGGCCACCAGCGCGAGCTGGCTCCTCGGGCTTTCCCAAGTTTGCTGTCTCCAGCCTGAACTAGTCCCCTCTGGGGAGCCCCCTTCTCACTTGTTTTCCAGTGTAGGATTTTTTTTTTTTTCTCCCTTCTTTTGGCAGTGAAGTTCTTCAGAGCCACCTGGAGCTTGGTGCTTGGCTGACTGTTTTTAACCCCCCTCTGGCTCCCAGAAGGAGGGGAGGGCTGGGGGAGAAAGCAGAAGATGCTGTGGATAAACCCTCTAAAGCAGCAGATTATAAACTGGTCGGAGTGAGCACAGAAAAGGGAGACAATTAGCTTCTTTTTCTCCTCTTCTGCCAGCTTCCAAGGAGGTCTCTGCTTTAATGAATCACTGATTTCTCGCTTCCGTTGCCGAAGTAAAAAGTTCACACTTTGGCCCTCTCTGCCTTTTAAGCTCAGGGAGATTTATCGTCACCCTTAAAAGTCGCCTCTCTCTTGGCGCAAATGAAATGGGGGACCGAAAAGACCAATTTCTAATTGCTAGCATGAGTCCTTTACTGAAACACGCGTGCACTTCAAAGCGAACGCACTTTATTGAGATTGCGAAGATTTACCCATAGGATTTGGCCGAATGTTCTGCTGTTTTCTATGTGATTTCCTTTGCACTTTGCTATAAAAGGGGCGTCTTCTTTTTTCTATCTTTACATTTAGTGTTAAGAGGGCTCTGTTTTACGATACAGCTGCACTACCAGTTCTCCCTCTTTCTCACACTCACCACGTCGCAACACCCTCATTGCTAGGGACGCTCACAACCCAGGTAGAGACAGAACCAAATCCCTGGCTAGGAAACCTTGCCAGGGATTAAGAGGCACGAGAGGCAAGTAACTGTGATAATCGGTTCCGATCCGAGTTAAGAGATAGTTCCTCGAGGATCACTACGAGAACTACTCGGTACTAGGGAAGGCTTGACTGGGAGGAGTAACGGAAGATGTAATGGTGTAAAATATTTACCTTCGGTAAGGGGGTTAGACATTCGTGTTATGTTGAAGCATATGAAATTGCCACTATTTTATATTTCTTGACCTTCCCAAGTGGCAATTTCATATGGTTCACCAAACTTAATAGTTAGACTGCTATTCTAAGATGGAGAATCACTTCAAGGTGAACTTGGGAGTTTGACCTCTGTAACTGTAACTCCAAGGGAGCTAATCAGAAGAACTGGTGTATATACAACAAGCCAGAAGCCCTGTAATGTGCATTTGACCTCAGTCTTCATTGTGAACAGGAGAAAATACAGAGAAATAAAAAAATCTAGCTTTAGAGATGGGCATTAGGAATGATTGCCCAATTATGTTGTTTAGTGACCTGAAAAAAATGACTTTGCATGCATGCACTTATATTTTCCTACGCATTCAGAGCCTTTGAAATAGAACCATGTAATGCTAGAATCAGGATTTTAATTGCATTTGTTTATAACCAATTGCAATGCTTACTGAAAAGATTTTGACAATGTGGTGAATAGCACAGTAGGCTTTTTAATTTAATAGAATCAGTTTTGATTTCTGTAGCCATTAATTGGAAAGTTAAAGAACATACGTCATTCATATGCTCAAAGTTTTGTTCTTTTATTAAAGCATGGATGTTTAAAAATGAAATCACTGTGCTAATTTAATTTTCTAGTTCACAGTTTTATACCTGAGCTAACAAATGCCTGAGAGAAAGTATAATGTTTCTAAGGGACTTGAGTTTCAGTCCAATTGTTCAGTAGAATCCAAATGTTTGAATTGACAACTAATTAAAACTGCATTTTTTTTAATGTTTGATGAAACCATACAGTAAAGATTCTGCTGTGAAAAGTTACAAAATATAGGAAGTTATAATTTTGAGGTTTCTCTACACTGGGCATCAACACTATTGATGCCAGCTTGAGATCCTTTTAATTTTTTTTAAAACTCACAATAGACACCCCCTCCTACACTGAAGCTCGTCTCCCCTCTACCCCCTCACCCCCACACCTACTGACTTTCTGCTCCAGCAGAGAAGGCGATTCAGATCTTTGTGAGAAGTTTTGTGTCTTATTCTGTTTGAAATGGGAAAAAAAAAAAACACTTCATCAAACTTCCATATTAAAATCTGGTTGCAGCAGGTGCAGTGTTTAAAACTAGAGTCCTTTTGCCGTTCTTCTGTACAGCGTGATGACAGGAAGGGCATTTACAAAACAGCCCGAAGGAAAAGCTGACATAGCTTTTTAGATTATATCTCATTCTTCTTTTTCTTTTCTGTACAGCCTTTCTTTTATAGCACAGTTGAATCCCTAAATACTCTGCTGCTTTGCATTGTTAGGTCACCTCTTAGGTTAGCCCGAGAAAGCCTGAGAAAAGTTCCACAGGAAAGATGCACTATTTAACGGAATTCAATCTCTCCCAATAGATTTGAATCACTAACATAAATGTATGAATGTAGATTATATCTCTGTAATGAGGCCTGAATCATTCTCAGTTACTTCAAAGGACTGAAATTCTACCTTCCTTTTTTAGCAGCAATAATCAGGTCTTAATGGGTTCCTTTATTAATTGTTTCTCTGCAACGATTGAAAAGGACAGGACAAGCTTCAGATTGGAGTGGTAACTACTAATTCTAAAAGGCTGTTTTTCTTTCTTTCCAACCTCTGGAAGGCATGCTTTATTTCTGTGTCCTAAACATATCCAGTAATATTAGGCTAGCTCTTTATTGGAGGAAATAGATGTGGCCTTTTGTTTAATGTGATGTCTTAAGAAGCTGCTGAGGCTTTTAAAAGCAAGTCCGTGGCAGCAGCCCCTGAAGAATCCTAAACTGTGACTGTTTGACCTCAGAGAAGCCGTTTGCCTATGTACTTCCAGATCTTTCAGTAGCTCTTCTGTTTGAGCGGTTTACATTTTAAGTATGTATTTCCTGGATTCTTTATATTGCTTGGCACTATCTGTGGTTCAATTACAAGATGTGTGTTCTATAACGTGTGATGTAATTGGCATTGTCAGAAAGCTGCTTCAAATAATAATACATCAGGTCAAAAGTCAGCCAGGCTGTTCTACAAAGTAGACATGTGCAGGCCTCATTTTTGAAGTCTGCAGAGATAGTCCTCATGACTGTGTGTTCCAGCCCATGTTCCCTTTCAGATACGGGAGATGCCAGTTTTTCTTTTTTTTTTTTTCTTTTTTTTTTTTAAGATTTTATGTATTCAGTGGAGACAGAGAGCATGCACACAACTGGGGGGAGGAGGAGCAGAGGGAGAGGGAGAAGGAGGGTCCCGGCTGAGCCAGGAGCCTGATGCAGGACTCCATCCCAGGACCCTGGGATCATGACCTGAGCCGAAGGCAGACGCTTCACCGACTGAACCACCCAGGCGCCCCGGGGAAGATGTCAGTTTTAAGGCATTGTTGGGGCTTCTGGTCTTCCCAGGATGTGGCTAGAGATGATGCTTATGGTCAGTGACATTTGGGCCAAATCAAATAGTGATATCTTATTTTTTTAAGAGGGGGTTTCAGTTGAAAGGAAAAGGAGTCTTAAACCGCAGAGAACAATGCAGTACTTGAGAGCCGGGGGGACTTTAGCAATAGAGCAGTGCAGTACTTGAGAGCCGGGGGGGACTTTAGCAATAGTTGAATCCAACTTGATCACTTTATAGCTGAATGAACTGATGCCCAAGTCACTCAGTGGTAGAAGAGAGTTTAGAACTCAGGTGCTGAGTCCTAATTTTAACAACCATAGGCTGCTGTCCTAATTTTGTTGGTAACACCTGCCTTGTCTGTTTTCTCTTTTTTCCCTCTGGGCTCCTCTTCTCCTTATCACTGACCACTCATCACTCTAATGTCTGAAATGCCAGGGTGGAAATGATAAGGGGTTAGGAGGCTTTACTTATGCAAAACCAATGTATCTTTGCTGCAATAGATTAGCCAGAGAA